GTTCAAGGAGAAATTCTAATATATATATAACTGTTTCGTCAGGTGATACATTTATTTAATGCTATTTCCTAATTTTCGTGTTTCTGATGAGTCCTTTGTGTGGCAAAATGCTTAATGTTTTGTGTTTTAAAGTTCAGAAAGTTTCACTTTTTGCTATTATAGGACGTTGCTAAGAAAACGAAAACTTTCCTTGTTAAATAAAATATTATCTTATATTATAAACGGGGGAAAATGAAATTAAATTAAGTCTATTTCATTTTATTAAATATGCACCTAGTTCTACAGTAGATTACATTGAAATGCTACAATCCTGTACTAGAACAGCATCTCATCTATACCTGAAGAGGTCATATATAGTGAACATTTAAATATGAATAAGTGAACACAATATTTTTTTTTATGGTTTGGTATTGTCATTGAGATGGCGTTTGAAGTTCAACGTATTACACGATGCGTTTTTTTTTCACTTTTAGTGACAAATGTTACAACAAGAAGCAGGGAGATATCTACCCACAGTAAAGGTTTTAAATTATTCATATTTACGTACATATATTGTATGCAAATTACGTATGTTTATTTGGGTTTATTGTTAAAATGTTTGATCTGTTGTTTGTTATGCTTTATGCATATTTTCCACACATGAAAGTTAAGCTCTACACGTAATAATATCTGAAAAATATTTACCTGTTTTATACTACAATTATGTTGACATCCCAAGTTACTAAAATTGTTGGACTCTGTTCGATTCTGAAACAAGAACAAAATATTATGTTAAAATACATCCAATCTATTTACTATTGTACACATTATTTACAGAGATTCTTTAAAAATAAATATGTAATAATAAAAACTTCATTATTTTCTTCCAGGCGCACTAATTTTTCATTTAAAGTGCAGGTAAACAAATGAGTTTACAGAGACGTTTTGTATAATTTCACGGTGTGATTTCTAGATAACCGGAAGGGGTGCAAAAGGAAGCTCTAGCCGGGGGATCACTGAGGTGTAAAGGAATTGAAAGCAGGTGGCTAGCAAGCGTGGCTTAAAAGAAGGAGCAAGTTGTTTCTTTTAGCTTAAAAATGTGCATGTCATGACCTGCTGGAAGGTAAAGAAAGGTTTAACAGGTTTAACGGACTCATTTTATCAGTTCAGTCCTTTCAAATCAGATTTAAAGTAATTACGAAACATTTAGAAAACTAAACACCGAACGTAAGCCGAAATGTACTCAAAAGAGAAATAAAAGTCGATAGAATTATTATTTATAATTGTCTAACGAATTTTCTAGCATATTGTTATTTATTTGAATGGATATTGTATACATGTAATTTACTTTATTCAGTAATACTATACATATATGCTTTTTTGACAAATTCTTGTTTCAACTGATATCCTGGTTGGTGGAATACGAAACATTTTGTAATATTCATCATCACCATAAGATGGTCAGTCCTAAGACTGGTTAGACACGTACCTCCACTCTTTCCTATCCTGAGCTAATCTACGCACTTCCCTAAAAATTAAACATCCTACACGCTGAACTATTTACGAACAGTAATCTAATCTAGGTCTACTTTTTAACTCCGGTTTGTGCCTCTAATACGTCTCTGATTACCCCTTCATGCCTAAGAAGGTGTCCTACCAACTTATCTTGCTTATTTCTTATTTACTTCCATAGTCTTCTATTCTCCTATTCTTTCTAATACCTCTTCATTTCTAACCTTCTTTATCCACGGTATCCTCATCATTCGCCGGTAACACCACATTTCGAACGCTTTTAACCTTTTCTTTTTCGCCGCGCCCACCGTCCATGTTTCGCACCTGTACAGCGTCACGCTCCAGACATACACTTTTAGTAATATTTTTCAACTATTTGTGAACTGTAATCTAATCTAGGTCTACCTCTACTCCTCTTCTTCTCTATCCATGGTATCCTCTTCATTCGTCTGTAACAACACATTTCGAACGCTCCTAAATCCGTGCTTCGCACGCATATGGCGTTACACTCCAGTCATATTTATTTAACAATCTTTTCCGAATTTCTGAATTCACCGTTAGCGATCATAGAAGTGACTTCTTGTTATTGAAGGCGATTCGCTATCCTTTGCTTTATATTCCTACTACTCCTTCCATCCTGACTTGTCTGACTTCCTAAATACCTAAAATCAGCCACTTCTTCTAATTTTTCGTCTCCTATCTTTAGGTAGCTAATATCGAATAATAATTAACATAACGTCAATTATAGTAAATAGAAAAAAACTTTAAAAACTTTTGGGTGTTTCATTCCCACCAGCCAGTAATGCTGGTGGGCGGGCAGTCCCTCCGGACTATGCCGGAAGGTAGGGCGGAAGGCCCTCTTCAGCCTGCTTTCAGGAATCGTGGGAATGGGTGGGTGGTGGTTCGGGTGAGAAAGTTGAGACGGACGAAATGAAGACAGAAGAGANTTTCCCAGACAACTTCATTGGATGTTAAGAATAGGTGGAAACTACGATAACTTTCGCGTTGCAATTTGATGTGTTTTGGTAAAACAGCCCAAAATAACATAGAAATGAATAAAAATAATTTTAGATATGTCGCTTTGTTTTCGAGATATCGCTTATCGAAAATCTGGTATTTTGGGTGTCGAGTTATTGCTTACAAACATACATATTGCGTTTAGTTTTAAAGTTTTTCCCTCTTTCCTCTTGTAATTACAGTACCTGAGGAGAGGTTAGGTCAGATTACAGTTCCTGATTTTATATAAAATATATTTAGTATGCTCCCAAACACAGAAAACCAGTGACGATAAATCCCGTAATCACGGAGGCCGCCTCATTGATTTATTACTTCCTATCCAATTGGAATGATGTTTAATAATCCTGAAACGGTTTTGATATTATGAGGATGTGCATCATCTTGCTGAAATAACTTGTTATTTGTTTCAGCTAATGGTAAATTTTCCATAAACTCCTCGTTTAATATTTCAAAGTACCGTTGGCGATTAAAATGTTCTGGTAAGTTAAAACACGGTTGCCTATTTTAGTATATCAAACGCTGAAACCAAACCCTCTTTGAAGTCTAACGTCGACGGTACGATGAGGGTCGCTATAGCACCAGTAGTGCTCGTCGTTGTCAAGAAATTCAGGCAGTGCTAATAATATAGACTTTATCTGCCTAAATAAGAAGAAAGAAACCTTTAAAATGATCAGCGAGTTATCATTATTATATACATGATAGTCCCCTATTGGAAACAAATGTAAAAAATGCAAAGGGTAAACTACGATTAGATAATTTTCGTAATTTAATGCTTACTTATGGAATGCAACCCCTGCATAGTTTTGAAAAGAAGAAAAAATTCTCTTTTTAACTAAAGCATAGCCAAATACAGTTCCTATTCAGAAAAATACAAGTTTGTGTCATAACTCGAAAGGGGATGATTGTTTTTTATTTTTAAAGATTGCGGTTGTCGCAACAGTTTGCTACTTTTTTGTAAAACTAAAGATGACGGCTGCAAAATTTTTATATCCCTTTTGATTTTTGGGATACAGTGCAGGGCATGTCGGAATTGTATGTTAAATACAAAATATGCATCTCTCGTTTAAATAAAATTGTGAAAAGGGCAGGATTTCTAGCCATCTACAGGTCTGACGAAGGAAGCTGGCGAACGGTCGCGCAGGTCCTTGCCCATTTATGACCTATTTGGGTAAGTCACTTGGAACCGATACACAATAAGCTTTCAGTAGGCGTAAATTATAGTGTTGATACAGATAGGACAGTAGCGTGCTAGAAAATAATGTAAAAACATGACTTATCAAAAAAAAAAAATTAACCTTTTGCTTTTGTTTTATAGTTAGTTTTAACATTCACTGTCATCATGGGAATCTCTATCACTGTCACCAACATCAACAATTAGTTATTCTGTTTGTATGTCTATTACTTGCTCACTGATCCCTATTTTTAAATATTTAATCTACGCCCCTGATAGGAATACTGAAGAATGAGAGCTGCAATCTTCATACCTAAAACTACCTACTTTTGCCACCGCGCATCCACGCCATTTTAAAATTTCCGCCAGCTTCCAGCGTTAGGCCTGTACAATACATTAACGTGATTTATTCGAAGTTATTATTCTATTATGGTATTACTTCAAGCCTAACTGAAAATTATATGTACTTTTGCGTAAAACAAACCAGAAGAGGAAAGCCTAATGTTGTTGTGCAGTACTTATACGTTTTTTATACGTTTCTTATGTCAATATTATAAAACAAATACTTCTTATTAATTAATTTAAATCGTATTTTGAATTAAAACTCTTGAACTTTTGGTTCCCGTCATTTATTATGAACATTTAAAGCAATTACGATAATAAAAATTAAAATTGTTTACTGTGAACTTGTAATTAAATTTGATACCTCGAAGATCATTTTGGTAATTAATCCTGTTACTAAACTATTGTTGTATATTTAAGAGTCAGTTTGCGAAATGACGGAGCAACAACGTCCGATAAAAATTACAATCTAGTAGCAAACGTTTCTTAATAACGTAAAAACCAACGTTGCAATATGTAATCATTCCCCCCGAGATAACCCTAAATGGCGCTGAAGTTCACGATTTCTATAAGCGAAGGCCACATTGTATATTAAATTTTTGTATATAATACGTATTAGACATCTATATCCCTGTTATAATTGTTTATAGTTTAATAACCATTAACATACATTTACCACACACGACAAACTGGTTCGTTTTAGTTTAATGTTTTTATTTTGCACATTAAAATAATATATAAAAATAAAGCGGAAAATATTGACGTAAGAACTTATTGACAACTGTTTCAAATGCGTTACATATATACCATAATACTTTATACAAATAATATGAAAAACAACAAAATTACTTTAAAAGCAGGTTTATTTTGAATGATGCATATACAGGATGATTATCCTTTTTATTGGGATTTGCAAGATAGGAAACTTTTCATCCAGAATTTTCAAGAGAACTAGGAATGTTGTCTGAAAATTTCCCAGACAACTTCATTGGATGTTAAGAATAGGTGGAAACTACGATAACTTTCGCGTTGCAATTTGATGTGTTTTGGTAAAACAGCCCAAAATAACATAGAAATGAATAAAAATAATTTTAGATATGTCGCTTTGTTTTCGAGATATCGCTTATCGAAAATCTGGTATTTTGGGTGTCGAGTTATTGCTTACAAACATACATATTGCGTTTAGTTTTAAGGTTTTCCCTCTTTCCTCTTGTAATTACAGTACCTGAGGAGAGGTTAGGTCAGATTACAGTTCCTGAAGGTTTTCCACCTTCTTTTTTACAGTAATAATTACTAAGGATAAAACAAAATAATTCGAAGTGGTCTGTGTTCCGTCGAAACTGCCAGACGCGGATCGCGATTTCCATCTTTTTGGATCTCATCAGCGCGTCGCAGGCAGCTCTGACAGAACACAGACCAACCTTTACTTAGTAATATTTTTCAACTATTTGTGAACTGTAATCTAATCTAGGTCTACTTTTTAACTCCGGTTTGTGCCTCTAATACGTCTCTGATTACCCCTTCATGCCTAAGAAGGTGTCCTACCAACCTCATTCGTCTGTTTTCTAACTCAGACCTGCGAAACAATACCATATACTTATGTTTAACTAGAATTATTTATTATGTTGAAAGTTCTATTATGAATAAAAATCCTATAAGAAGTAATGCCTTATTTGGATTTTTAGATAACTGATGTAAGTAACATTATGAAGGACAAAGGACCAGATGACAAACACTTAATTGTTCAGGTCTTTATTCTCCTTAATTATTTTCATGAAGAAGTCGAAGACACAATGAAAAGTTAATGATTCTACGAAAAAAGTTAATAGATAGTTTTCTGTTTAGAAGATTTAAATAATTACTTCATTTGAAAACATCAAAATTGTTTGTACTTATTTATTTTGTGGTATTCGAACTTAATAACAATAAGAAATACAACTTTTTATCAATAAATTGCGTAGTATTAGTAATATACCTAGGTCTATTTGATAGTATTGGTGTTATTTATAATTAAAATGTGTAAACTGCTATAAACATTTTTTTTTTATTTTTTACTATGCCGAAATAATTATCGTATTCTTCATATTTTAATATTATCTGACAGTCGCTTAATACAATTATTGTTATTTAAATGCTAACTTTTTGCTTGTTATCATCCTTCAATTCTATAAAAGAAACGACTGGTTTGTGGTAAGTAAAGTATAGTATAAACGTCTTCGATTTAATCAATTCAAAACCCATGCTCGTTCAAGTGTTGGTAGACGACGTTACAAGATTGCCATGCAGGAATGTTGGTAAAGAAGGAGAAGTTAAATCCTCTAGTCCGTAATCCGTAATTCTTTCTCATAACATCTAATCCTTTACGATATTTTACTCCACATATGGTTAAGGTACAGGCGCTACATAAGAAGTTTCAACATCACATGTAAATTGCGGCGATGGTCACATTGGTACCTACGTCAGAAAGGTATGTANTTTCGATCTTTTTGGATCTCATCAGCGCGTCGCAGGCAGCTCTGACAGAACACAGACCAACCTTTACCTGCTGTCTTAACAGCGCGTTTTAGAAAATACTACAAATGGCGATCGCGATCCGCGTCTGGCAGTTTCGACGGAACACAGACCACTTCGAATTATTTTGTTCGATTATGGTAACGTGCGTATCACGTTGAGGTGAGCTACGCCGGGATTCGTTTCAGCAAGTAGATATCCATATATTTAAATGGACCTTGTTGGAGCATATGTAATCCTCAAATGTATCATCGTACTACAGATGGCGCTCACCACGCCATTTGTAGTATTTTCTACTAAGGATAAGTTACCTTAGATTAGGTTAGGTTAAATTATGGTATCCGAAGGTTCTCATTTATCCGTTTCATGAATTCAATGACATCTGTGCTCATATTTAAGGTGATATTTGTGATCAGCACACAAAATTCTTATGTAGCACTTTATTTCAAACACGAAATAATAATTCGCATCAATATCGCAAGTTCGACGTTTAATTTGCGATAAGCGATATCTGGAAAATTAAGCAAGGTATCGAAAAATTGTACTCTTTTTTGAGCTATTTTACCAAAATATCGTTACTCAAACTTCCAAGTAAAGGGATTATTTTGATAAAGAAAGTGACACTATATATTAGATTAACTCAAAACAGCTTAAACAAATTCCCGATTAGAACTTGGGGGGAGGGGGCATGCTTCATGTAAAATGTGGCCTTATGGAGATATACATTTAGTAGAAGAGTTGATTGGTAATGGGTTTCAAGTATAAAATCATTTGAGATTTTCATGATTAATGATTTTAGTGGCTATGGAGTACATTATCAGGTCCAAATCCTGACGTGGTGAGGTTAAATTGACTGCACATTTGGATTCAGCAACTCCAAAACCATATTGTATATACAGTCAAACCTCCAGACTGAATTTATTTTTGTGTGGCTTTGAAGTTTTAATGAATATTTTTGTTATAAGTATAGCAAGTGACATAAAATCATTCAGAAAATAGCGCTGAACTCAAACATGGAAAAAGTCAAAAAACTCTTGCGAGCTCTTCGAAAACGACTGCACGAAAAATAAAAAGTATATAATTGAACAGCACAAACAAAATTACTACACAAATGTTACCTAATAGTAGATTTTTGAAAACTTTAAAAACAAAAAAGTTACAGGGTAGTTTCCAAATTGGCGTCTTTAGTAGGATGTCATCATCGATTCCCTACAACGAGGCGCGTCATTAAACAATACAAATTTCTGGACCACATACTTCTCCTATTTAACAGATTTTCTATATATTCTATGAATAAAGGTAGCTATGTCAGGTGGGACACCCACTATTTGATACATGCTAGTTACCTACTACTTAAGAGTGACTGGAAATTGTTCGTATTCCTCTCGGGAGAAGAATCAGATGATGGAAAAATTCTGGCCAAAATTGTTTTTTAAATTTTCCCAAAATTGGGATTTTTGTAACAAGATGTAGATTTTCTCAAAAATGGCTCATTTACGACTCCCAAGTGATACAGGTTGAATGTGATAGTTTCTTCTCCCGAAAGGAACACAAGCAATTTTCAGTCACCCTGTATGTGTATTATTTTCAAAACCAAATAAACGTATACCAACAATAGAAAATGGTAATTGCAATTCTTACAAAGGAATAAGCAGTGTAGTGTACCTATGTATTATTATGTAAATGAAAAAGATGTTTAACTTATTTAAATGTTTACAACGGTAGATATATTCTAAAGAAAGTCAAATCAAACGTGCCCATCACATTCATTTGGAGATACATTAAATGATGATATCCACATATAATATTTTTTTGCATCATTCTATAAAATCCGGTTTTACTATCAGTTACGTTGTATATAATTTTATATATATATATACTTGTAACTACAGACAAGAACTTNCGGTTTTACTATCAGTTACGTTGTATATAATTTTATATATATATATACTTGTAAATACAGACAAGAACTTTGAAAACAATAGTTACTGTAAATTGAAATAAAATAACTGAAAATAAATGTAGAGAGGGTACATAATCCTTTTTTTTCATAAAAATGTGTATATTTTTTATGTTCACGTAAAGATTTTATAACATGCCTACAGACGAGATATAAATTTTTTACTAAACACAGAAAACATTATCGTTAAAGTGTATAATATCTATTACATTAACGATAAAATGGAAAACATATTTACAGCATTTCAAATTTTACATTAATAACAGAAGTTTCATGTTTTAAACAAATAAGTACCTTATCTGCAATATCTAAATCTTTTAAGTTCATATGATTATCTAAATTCAAATTAAGACCTTTAATGAAAATTTGTTTGTTTGTCTGTCTGTCTGTCTGTACGAGCTACCCTGTACTGATCGATAGGACTTATTGACACGAAGTGGAGGTTGTAGGACTGATCCAGAAAACCTTATTAAGTTGTTTATATGTATTTATTATAAACAATTATAAATCGCGAACGAAGTTGTGGGTACAAGCTAATAATAAATAACATAAAATATGGAATGTTAAACTAAATCATATATGTCACCTCACATTAGGTACTTTTTTATGTACTTATTTATTATATAACAAAATTATGCAAAAAAGGTATTATATTTACCTGTAAAGGACATTGTTCTACGCAATAACCGGCGACTTCGCCTTCTAGATTTTCGGCATTGGCCAAAAAGTCCACTCCAAAACAGCACAATACAACTAGCACTCGAATCATTATCAGTGACACCGAAAAATCCATTCATAATCGATAATTTAAAACCAACCGATAAACCGTTTACAAATAATAAATTACTAATCTACCGGCTCACTTACACACACCATTCCACAATACATATAGCCATAATTATAGAGCAGACGAGAAAATGTATTTAAAAATTACCGCGAAAATATAAAATAAGGGAACGTGATAACACGGTACAGTACAGCAACACTTCTGCGCAACCTGCTAAGCCACATGTGAGCTTGTACTAAGTTGAGTTTGTTGTTTGGACGGAGTAGGCGACTTCCCCACCATTATTATAACGACTGAACAAGTGAATGAATGAAAAATAATTACGTACTCAAACATAGTTAGCCACTTCCGTCTGTACAATTAACAACTATTTAGGGCCTTGGGTACAGAAGCGGAACCCAGTTCACCCCGTACTAATATATGAATTATTAAATTGTTTAAATATGCCAGACTAAATTAACGCACAACTACGACCTGATTTTTAGCTTAAGCATGCGAGTGAATGTGTGATTAAGTATATTATTTGTGTTTTTTTGTTAACAATAATCATCTAATTAATTGTTCAAAAAGGGCTGTTTTTAAAATAACTAAAATGGAAATCTTAAGTTCATCATGGAAAAGTTTTAGGTTAGGGGGTGGTAGAAAAACCTACTTAATAAATAGGTAGGTACCGAACAAATAACTAAAAAATATTATTTTTGGAATTTAAGGGTGATACAGATGGGCAATATATGTATATCAGAAGATACTCTAATATTTTCGGAACAAATAAAATTTTAATTGTAAAAAATAACAGTCTTAATATGTGCATTGTGTGTACATTGAAAACATAAAATAAACAAACGAATTATACAATTAATTACCAAAATTATCTATAATAAAAACAGAAAAAAAGACTTACTCCTAATTCACCACAATACTTTTACTATCAAAGGTATCATCATAAGGTCGTCAAACCGAAGATATATGACACCTCTATTCCTTTCTATCCTGAATCTGCCCTTGTTTTTCGAAAACAAGAATATCCAATAGTCCTAAATATTTGTCAACAGTAATATAATCTATGTCTTCTTCTGTCCTTCTGTACTCCTGTTTATACTTTTAAAATAACTCTAACTAGTCCTTCATGTCTCAGTAGGTATCCTACTATCACCTTATCTATCCTTTCCTTAATGATTTCCATTACGATCTCTGCTCTCCTGCTTTTTCAAATGCCACCTCCCTTTTTCTATCCATACCATTTCCATCGTCCGCGCAAAAAGCTACTCAGACGCTTCGAACTTTTTCACCTACGTCACGCTCACATCAGGGAGTCGACAGACTGATTGGACACGCACCTCTACTGTTTCCTATCCTGATAAATGCTTCAAATTTCCCTGAAACTAGAACATACCTCATCCTTAACTTTTTTTGAACAGTAATCTAATCAAAGTCTACCCATTTACTCCCTGTTTCTGCTTCTAATAAATCCCTAACTTGACATTCATGCTAGAGAAACAGAGATGTGTTTTATTTGGATCTATATTAAAATACTGGATCAATATTTTGTTTTCTGGGTTCAATGTCATGGTCCATGGAATTGGAAGTTCCAAATTGATATCAGCACCTGCCAAATCACTTATCGTACCTTTAGCAAGGAAGTCTGAAATTTTATGAACTACGAATTATAAAAAAACGGAGCCCGCAAAACAATATCGAATTGATGTACACCAGCTGTCTAAAACTGGAAACTACAAGATATGCTATTGATAGCGTATAATCCAAAATTCTCAGAAAACGATTCTATTACTTACTAGATGAACTCAAAGCTAAAGAAACTTTGGATTTATTACAATGTGTAAAAGATCGGAAACCGGAAACAGAATGGGGTTGTAAATATTTTGATATAAAATGATTGATGTTCATTTTACATTAATAAAATTATTTGCAACCCTATTTTGGCTGTGATCTTTCACGCTAAACAATTTTGGTGTCAGTGTCTTTTTTGCCAACTAAAACGGATGACAAAGGCAAATAATGAAGCATACAGAAGAATCATCTGTTGCTGAACTGAAGAAACTATAACATAAAGATAAAATAACCATATCTCAATAATTTAAAACAGAAAAATATGAATCATTCTCAACCTTCGCAGCCGGTGATATGGTGCAAACACCACTCTTAGTCTAGAAAAACTCCAATATTTAAAAAATGAATGAAAAGTGGTTGCAACGTTTCCATGGGGTATATTTTATTTGTACTGGGATTTAGTCATATACGTGTTTTGGCAATTTTTAAAAATCAACCCTTAAGGGTGAAATATTGTTGCTACGTTTGTATTTGAAATCTAAGATGACGACATTACATAAAATCAAAACGTTGTAAGGGTGAATTGGGAGTTAAAAGGTTTTATGGAGAAACAATATTAATTTCTGCGAGCAAAGCCGCCGGGAAAAGCTAGTTCTCGATATATTTTTATTTATTCCTAAAGTTGTCTTGTCTCGAATGATGTTTGTCGCATGTTCGCCTTCAATATAATACAAATTAAAAAGTAGGTGACAGTGTGCATCCTTGTCTTTCCGTTCCTAATATTAACTTCTTTATGTTGTTGCTCAAGTTCTATGTCTGCGTGTTGCTCTTTATACAAACTATACCACTCTTGTCTCGGTATCTCATTATAGAATTTGTAAGTAAATTTAACATCATGTCCCATTTAGCATTGTCAAAAGATCTACGAATCTAATGTGCACGTTTTTTCCTACTTCTATCGTTTTCTCTGTTGTTACCCGCAAAGCTAAAATAGCTTCCCGAGTTCCTCTATTTCTTCTAAACCCGAATTGGTCATAATAGTTCTTCCACCCTTTCTTTATCTTTTACTGTACGGTATATGGGAAGTTGTTCTAAATTTTTTACATCTATCCGCGCATCTCTTTTTTTTTTATGGCCTTTTTCGTCGATCCTCGTAGCTAGCATATCACACGTTTTCAAGTAAAGACGTTTCTTACCTTCCCCATCTTCATAATTTTAAATTGAAGATTGGACTTCATATCTACTAGATTATGATCGCTCGGTATATCTGTTCCTACATAACTGCTACAGTCATTCATGTAATCTAACTGATATCTCCCTAAATCACCTGGAATTTTCCACGTATAGCGCCTCCTACCGTGACGGTCAGATAAACTATTCGCGACGGTTATGTTTAACGCAAAATGCTATCAGTTTATCTCCCCTATTGCCTAATCTAAAAGAAAGTGTTATTACACCTTAACCTATTACTGCATTAAAGTCTCCTACAGCTATTAAGTTTTTCTGCCCTTTCACTTTTCTTACCATTAACACGTCTTCTATATCTACATATACCGCTCCTACGTCTTCGTTATTGTTAAATTGCAAAGCATATAGACCTGCACTCTTACCGTTTTTACAAGTTTCGGCTTTAATTTAATTAATACTATCCTATCGCTTTTCGGTAAATAATTTTCATTCATATACTCTGTTAGCTTTCTTATACATTACAATTCGTACCCCCAAATTACCTTCCACCGATCCTGTATGTATTTTTTTAAAATCTAAATGATTTCATGTAGAACAACCGATTGTATACTTAACTATACGTAAGCCTTTTGAGAAATATTTTTACTGTGCGTTATGCAACCCAACTTGCAGTCGTGAACGGTGCAGATGAGGTTCGTGTCGTAATCTACTATTGAAGTCTCCAAGATTTTGTAGAAATTGTAATTAGAAGGTTACACTTTTTATTAATTTTAGTTATTCGGGGTACGTCAAACAGCAGGCAATGTTTTGAAATATTTACGCATACGAATCCTCAATGTCCTCGTTTAGTATCACATAATTTTTATTCAGTATCCAAAACTCCTCTACTGAGAGGTCTCTGAGAGGAACAAACTATCTTAATTTGGTATACACGAAAAATCTTCACAATCATTACAATCTTCACTGAATATATAAAAGCATAAAACTCTGTTCACAAAATGAAGTAAGTAAAATAGTTCTTCCAGATTTAGTTTTCTGATCTCGGATAACCAGACATTTATGTAAACAATTGATAGTCGAGATAACAAAAAGAAAGAAGTGTTCTATCAAATAATACGGGTATTGTTGAGAAATAGAGCTGTGTGTTTAAAATGGTTCATGGAAAACCATTGTCTATCAAAGTATGAAAAACTATTGTAACAGGTCATTGAGGTAGGTCACTAGGTAGTTCCTGAAATTTGTTTGTCTAGGTCTAGTATTCACACTACTATCCAACATAGCAGAAAATTTGGTACTGTTGCAACACAAAGAATCTGGCCATCCCTGCAGAACAATTGTAAGAGAGCAAAGAGTTAATAAAATTGTTCTCGTGCAACAGAATTATCAATAAAATGGCGAGAAGTTATAAGAAAAGATAGTTCCATTGAAACATGCAGAGGGCTTTAAAACGTATGGGTTTTACGTTTTACACGGTAGGTGTAAAGCAAAGGATGCAATTTGCTAAAGATCGTGAAAATAGGATGGTACAACAACGAGGAAAAGTTATATGGAGCAATCAATCCAAATTTGAGGTTTCAGTGACTATTTGATAATGAAATCATAAAATAATGACACAAAATCTTGCAATAAGATCCAAATTCTAGATTTGTGTGTGAGAATGAGAAATGTATCGTAAAATGAAATAAACTAAGAAAGAATAAATCATTGCTTGATTATATTAGGTTAGGTTTAAGAAATGAGCAAGGTTTTCTTAAAAAAATATTTTATAATTAAGTAAATGTAAAAAATTAAATAGGTATACTAAAAAAAAGTATTTATTTGAAAAAAGTATTTTGAAAATACGTATTTTGCATTTATTGT